TACTGGAAAAAGGTGATTTCTTGGTGATTTCTAAGGTGCTTTCCAGTTCTACTATACTTTTTCTCTAGCCAGTCTTTTCCCACGAATTTGTTTAACTAGTTTGGATCCAAATGTGGACTTGGGCAGCTTCTCTCAAAGGGATTCCCGAAACAAACTGCTAACATACCCTTCTTTAAGGTCGTTCCCTCTACCAGGTGGGTCAGAGGCCTTTTGTTTTCTTCACAGTCAAAGTTCGATGGGATAAACTGGCTGATTTTTTAAAAGGCAGCCTCAGAACAATGAGGCTTTGAATGGGCCTCTCAGCCCAAAGTGCTCTCTAAATGGAAAATATTATTACAGCAGGACTAATCCCTTTTTATAGCAATAAACGCAGACCCAGTCATGTAAATACATTGGCAGAATCAGCCAGATTTAACTCTCTGAATGGAAAATGTTTTTCAACAAGTAGGTCCAGGAGCAACAAATAAATGATGTGCTTAGCAAGAGGGGAAGATGTGACCTTGGCCTTTTGAATGCACTCATATATGGGATGCAGGAGAATGGAGACACCAAACAAAATTAGTGTATATTAATGTGCCAAACAACAGCACACTTCTCATGATGTCAGAGAAGCCTAAAAGCAAATTAAGCCTAAATAGGGCACCAGATGCTTTTTGGTTTTCTTAGTGATGGAGACAGATCTTCACAGCCCTATTAGCCTTTCCATTTAAAGCAGAAATTTTACCCAAGCAGCAGAGAGGAGGTGAAGGCCTCCTGTCAAGCACCTCATAAATTCTCATTCACTGTGCCAGAGCCATGTGTCTGTGCAAGTGGATTCACTGTTTATTTAAAAAGCAAACCAGAGGCACTCTTGCATTTCTTCCCATTTGCCAGGCCATTTGTGTCTAGATCAGTAACTCTGAGACTTCTACAGTCTGTTAAAGTTTCAACTTTCTTTAAAATTTTTCATTCCCATGACTGATAGCATATTGTTGAGCAAACTTTTATTTTCTGGGGATGCATAAGTAGGAAAATTGTGGGGAGGGGAGGTTTGTTTGTTTGTTTGTTTGTTTTTTTGACACAGGGTCTTGCTCTGTCACCCAGGCTGGAGTGCAGTGATCCAAACACAGCTCATCAATCCATGGGCTCCAGTAATCTTCCCACTTCAGCCTCCCATGTAGCTGGGATTACAGGTGTATGCCACCACACCTGGCTAATTTTTTTATTTTTTGTAGAGACGAAGTCTCACTGTGTGTGTTGCCCAGATTGGTCTCAAACTCCTGAGTGCAAATGACCCTCCTGCCTTGGCCTTCCAGAGTGCTGGGATTACAGGTGTGAGCCCCACCATACCTGGCCAGGAAATTGTTTTGAGCTGATTTTTCTATGGAGTGATGGTGGAAGGAAACCTGGACCACAGTAAGCAGATTTGGGTCTAACTCGTACTTTTCAGTTTGCTATCTGTATTGACCTTGGGAAAAATGAGTTCATCCCTCTGAACCTCAGTTTCTTCATCTGCCAAATGGGGACGATAAAACCTATTCTTCTTGCCTATCATAATTACTCTGGGCATCAAGAAATATAATGAAGCTTGCAAAAATGCTTCAAAAAGCTGAAAAGTATAACATAGGTTAATGAAATGCTTCCCTTAATAGCGAATGCTCATTAAATGCCTGTTAAATGAATGACTATAAAGACCAATAAAAGAAGCACTGTCTTTGTTTATTTTTCTTTTATTTCTTTATGGCCACTGCCCTGATTTAGATGTTCATCAGGAATTTCCAATCTCCTCCTGACTAATGGCCTTGTCTTCTGCTCTGTCTCTACCACTGGCTCTTTACTAAAGCTTGTACATTCCTTCAAAGACCACAGATTTCTGAGGATGCCCCTCTCCTCATTAAACCCTTTTCTGGCTCCCTGTCGTCAATAAGACCAGGGTCCAGGTAGCTTAGCATAACAACACCCAGGTTCCTTATGAAACTCCTCCTACCTATATACCCCTCCAGTCTATTTCTAAGCTCCCACAGCGTTAAACTATTTTAAATGTTCCCTGGATGCATTCGTTCATATGCTGTTTCTCCCTGCCTGTCAGTCTGATCTGACTGGGAAACTCTTTCAATTTTCAAAATCTAGCACAGATGTCATATGCACCAGGAAGCTTTCCTGACCCTACAAGAGAGACCTCAGCTGTCTCTCCTCTGTGGTTCCCTGGTAAGTTAAGGATTTGTATTCTCATGCTTATCATCTTAGCATTCATTGGCTTATGTGTGTCTGTCCACTACTAGATTGTGATCTGCCTGTAAAGAGGGATAGGATCTTAGTTACATTTTTTCCTTCTGTCCACACCACCTTGTGCAGTCCTTGGCTATCAGAAAAGCTGATGCTCTCAGGGGCCATTGAAAGGCAAGTCAGGATTTCTGCACCTACATTGAATGGCTACAGCTTGTTCTACTTGGATTCCTTTTTATTTGCTTGTTTTCGTTTTTTCGAGACAAGGTCTGACTGTTACCCAGGCTGGAGTGCAGTGGTGCAAACACAGCTTATCACAGCCTCGACCCCCTGGGCTCAAGTGATCCTCCTGCCTCAGCTTCATGAGTAGCTGGGATCATAGGCCCCCACCACCATGCCCAGATAATTTTTAGATTTTTTTTGTAGAGACAGAGTCTCACTATGTAGCCCAGGCTGGTCTTGAACTCAGGGGTTCAAGTGATCCTCCTACCTCGGCCTCCCAAAGTGCTGGGATTACAGGTGTGAGCCACCACACCAGGCTGGATTCTCCCTCCCCCACCTTCCTTCTTCTGTTCCTCCCTCTCTTTTTCTTCTTTCTTTTCCAAATATTTTTTGTCAACTTCCCTACTGAGAGTTGTCCCTGTGAGCCTGCTGTGTAGTGTCCTCTGTTTCCAACTTTCAGTGTGAAGGCTGAAGATGAGGCCACTGTATGTCTTATGGGAAATGTGCATGGGCCTGGGTAGCTCTTATCCTTACCATTAACAATCCTTTATCAATCATTAGTCTCTGCAAATGGTCTGGATTAACTAAAAAGGACTAATTTAAATAAATTGTCTAGAGTACTTAAATATATTTACATATTTATAAAGATCAGTAGTTCTGTATCCTGTAACCAGTCCCTGAAATGGAATGAAATTACTAAAAGTTTTCTGAATAAATACATGCTACCATGTACATGTATATGCAAGTTATGTATGACATTGGCTATTAGAAATATTATTATCCTAGTTTTTCAGATGAGGGTGCTAAGGCACAGAAAGGTTAAATAACTTTCCTAGGGCCTTATAGGTAGCTAATGGTGGCAAGGTTAAAATCCAAGCTGTCTGAAAATCATAGATTTCAATAAATCAATATCCTTTTCTTTTCAGAGAATTAAAGCTTTGAATGATGTCAGTTTTAATGCCAAAAGCATTATTCCTTTTGTATGTATTTACAACTAAAATAGAAAAAAAGGTGAAGGAAATATGGGGGAAAAGAACAATATTTTTAAAAAGTGGGATACATGCTGCAACATGGATGACCTTGAAAACATGCTGAGTGAAATAGGCCAGGCACAGAAGGACAAATATTGAATGATTACACTTCTATGATGTTCCTAGTATAGGCAAATTCGTAGAGCTAGAAAGTAAAATAGAGGTTACCAGGGACTAGGGGAGGGGAAATAGGAAGTTACTGTGTAGTGGTTACCAAGTTTCTGTTTGGAATGATGAAAAAGTTCTGGAAATTGATGGCAGTGATGGTTGCATAGCACTGTGAATATACTTAATGCCACTGACTTGGCACTAACACTCAAAAATGGTGAAAATGGAAAATATTATTTCTATTTTTCCACAATAAAAAAAAATTAAAATAGGCTGGGCGCGGTGGCTCACGCCTGTAATCCCAGCACTTTCGGAAGTCGAGGCGGGTGGATCACCTGAGGTCAGGAGTTCGAGACCGGCCTGGCCAAAATGGTGAAACTCCATTTCTACTAAAAATACAAAAATTAGCTGGGTGTGGTGGCGTACACCTGTAATCCCAGCTATTCCAGAGGCTGAGGTGGGAGAATAGCTGGAACCTGGGAGGCAGAGGTTGCAATGAGCTGAGATTGTGCCACTGCACTCCAGGCTGGGCGACAGAGCGAGACTCCATCTCAAAAAAATAAAAAAATTAAAAAATTAAAAAAATTAAGATAAAAAGCAAATGAGGAAGAATGCTAGCAGTTTTGTAAGACTAAAGCTTCCTCCTGAGGCAGCCAAAGAGGTGAGAAGTGTAATAGAGACTCTGACACTTGCTCTCAGCAAACAGAGTTTAATTAATCAGGGCAAGGCCTTTTTCACCAGCTCTTACCAGTGCACCAAAGGCTCAGAACAATTACTGATGACAGAGCAAAATCATGTGGCAGGGAGAAAAATATCTTAAGTTTCCTCTTTAAAATTTGGGAATTATCCAGAGTAAATGCACTGTGTCTATATCAGGGTAAGCGGGGTTAAATATATTCTGCGCACACTAAAACTGAAGTCATTTGAAATGCAAAGTGTTGGATGAGAGAAAAAGCTGCTCATTTAGCTGACCTGGGTCAGAGCTGCAAAGCAGTCGTCCCATCCAGCCAGAAACTGTGTTTCATTTGACGTACAAATGTGTTTCTCTTAGTTGCCAATACTTTAAAATCTGGCTATTTCTTACAAATATTTGGATTTCTAACTTTTCTTGAAAAATCAGAAGATGTGTGTTACCAGTATCATAGAGTGGGTATTGGTTCTTCCCCATCTCCCTGGATGTGCAGAATTAATATTTCTATCCTATTCTTAGTCTCATTCATTTATGTTCTCTGGTTGGCCTCTGTGGCCATTTGAGTTCCCCATATCAGATTTAAGTCTTACCTTTTCCTTTTTGTTTTAATACATTTTTTGTAGAGATGGAGTTCTCGCTTTGCTGCCCAGGCTGGTCTCGAACTCCTGGCCTCAAGCAGTCCTCCTGCCTTGGCCTCCCAAAGTGTTAGCATTACAGGCATGAGCCCCTGCGCCTGGCCTTACCTTTCCTTTATCACACCTCCTCAGTAAAACTTTTCCGTCTTTTGACTTTCTTCCTTGGTGTCTCTTCATTCCTGTAGTAGTTATTATGTCTATACCATTCTTGGTTCTTATCACATATTATTTTTTATAATGTAATGTAGGCATGCCAGAAAGTTCCATATTTTCTAAAAAAGAAAATTTAATTATTTTGCCTCACTCTCTGTTTCTGAAGACAGTCAATGAATATATCTGTCTCATGACCCCAGCTAGATTGTAAGACCCTCAAGTGCATAGACCATACCTTAAGACATGTTTGTTTTTGTTTTTTTTTTTTTTCACCAAGCATAGGTTGAGTTGTTGTCAATAATAAATTAATAGGTTTGGGAATGTCTTTAAGAACAAACATGACTCATGAGTGCAGACAGGCTAGATTATCCATGGCTAGAACATAGATGAAGAAATGGACTTCATCTCTTGGGAAGTCAAGGCATTTTCCATATCCGATGGAATTAAATTATCATGTCTCATCCTTTTGCCAATACCTGTCCTTGTTTAAAGGGCAGAAAGTATGATGGACTCATGCAAATTCATCCTTCAGTCCTGGGGGAGGAATTCATGGCTTCTGGATTGGCTTGATTATTTTTGCACAAGGAGGCTCTCCCTAAGATGATAAAGGCATTTTTACCAAAAGAAGATAGCAGCTGTGTAAGTTCATGCTATAGCATTTTCAGTGAATCAATGTTTAATTATGATTATAACTCTGTAACTGATATGACTTATGTGTTAGGAAGAATGGTGGTTTGGAGATGAAGAAGGGAGGCTATGACAAACAAATTTTAAGAGAGGGTAAATGAAGTTCATTGTTATTGAGAAGTCACAGTAATTTATATTAATAGGAAAAACGTTCTTGAAATTTAAAGAAAAAATGTGAAACTAAATAAAACGTTGCAAAAATTGAGTTCCAACATCTTGACCCTGTGTGGTTTAATACTCTCTAGTAAAGTCAAATACAGGAAATCCTTGCTTTGCATGGCCCCAATTAGTGTGATTTTGAATAAATTTTTTTTCACTTAAAATATTTTTTAGTCCTCATGTGTGGAAGGCACTGTGGGGAGTGAGATAAGATGGGGTTATGGTATAAATTTTGCCCCTAAAGGAAGGAATTTTAGAATGAAGAAAGGAGATGGGGAATATACAAAGGGATTATAATGTAAGTTAAATATGATTTTCTTTAACGATAAGAATTAATATTTACTATCAGCTACGTGCCAGGCTCTGGGCTAAATACTTTCCACGATTTAACTTATCTAACTTTCACAACCACTGGGTACCTCCTTTTTCAAAACAAACAAACATAAGATGTGACTTAAAGATGGTAAATGATTTGTCCAAGGTAACACAGCTAGAAAGCTGTGCTCTTAACCATTGTGCCCTGTTGACTTGTCTAAATGTGATAAATATCAAGATGAAGGTGTAACTGGAAGGCAAGAGTCTGCTTCTACTTAGGAGAAGGGAAATTAAGGGAGGCTTCTTGGAGGAAGTGGCCTCACTAGTGGCATTTGACTCTACTATATGCAGAATTACTTGGATTCAGGGAGAGGACATTCAAAGAGGTTTTAGTATAAACAGAGGCAGGGTGTTAAAAAAAACTTAAGAGTGCATTTAGGGAGGACAAGAAGTTTGTGCTTGGCTGAAATTGGAGGATAAAAAAATGTACAAATAAGCTTAGAAGGAAAATTTGAGGTAAGATCACACAAGAAGGCTTAAATGCCAGGCAAAATAGTTTGAACTTTGTTGAAATCAATCAATAGTACCTACTGAAACTTTTGAGCAGAGAGGTGGATGAGGAAAGGCTGTGTCTTGCAATGAATACACTGGCCAACTATGCAAAGGGTGGATTTGATCAGGACAGTCTGGTCAGAGAGACCAATTAGAAGTCCTGAAAAGGGCATTGGCAGTGAAATGGAAAGGCATGAAATGAGAGGCAGAATGGATGGCATTTGTGATGACTGTGGCAGGGGAGAGTCCAAGAAAAGGGAGGGTGGAATAAAAGATAACTCAACCTGGTGAGAAGTCTAGATAATTCTGTATTTTCTTCCAATTTACACTTTGTTTACGCTTTAACATTTATCTTTGATCCCCAGACAGAAGTCAAATCGGAATTTTATTGCAGAATTCTTTTGTGAGATTCAGTGAATGCCAATGGAACAAAGCTACTTAAATTATGAGCTGTAAAGCTTCACGTCTCTTTTCCCAGTGAAAATCTCATTAGCCTACCATTTGAAAAGTAGCACATGCAAATCTGACTTTGTTTGGCTTGTATGATTTGATCCCCTTAAAGTGATAGTTTTTTAGGAGTGTGGCAGGTAGCCTGAAATTTCAATTAGATAAGCTAGAGGTTTACCTGTTGGAAGAGAGAGATATTATCTTCCTGTTGCTAGGTGATGGGTCTCTGAAGCAATAGTTCAGTCTTAAAGGAACAGGGCTGTTTTTAAGTTCCTTTTCTTTTGAAAAGAAAGATCAATTTAAAACTAACCCCAAACGCTCTGCTCGAGTTGTACACAGAATAAGACAGCCTGCCTGCTGTAGATCCACCAAACCTTCCATCCACCCCAAATTTTCATGGACAAGCCTCCTTTACTGTAACTATAGGGGATGGGCAACATGACTAGGATTAATGCTGGGAGCCGTCCTCATTGCTTTGTATGCATTGTTGCTTCCTAATTTTACAATATAGGTACTATTTTTTCTTCCCCTTAACGATAGTGTGACAGTTAATTTTATGTGTTGACTTGGCTAGACTATGGTACCCAGCTGTTTTGTCAAACACAGTCTACATATCGCCGAGAAGGTATTTTGTGGATGTGATTGACATTTAAATTAGTACACTTCGAGTAAAGCAAATTACTCTCCATCATGAGGGTGGGCCTTATCCAACCAGTTGAATTGAATCTTAAGAGCAAAGATTGAGGTTCCTTGAGGAAGCAGAAACTTTCCTCAACACTGTAACATAGAAACCCTGCCTTGAGTTTCCAGCATGCTGCCCCGTGGAACTCAAATTCAAGACTTGCAACATCAACTCTTATCCTCACTTCTCATCTGCCAGACTGTCCTGCAGATTTCAGACTTGCCAGCTCCCGCAACTGTGTGAGCCAATTTTTTAAAAGACATCAATCTCTCTTTCTCTCTCTCCGTTTCTTTTTTTCTCTCTAGAGCTATCTGTATCTCTATCTACCTACTTATCTATCTACTATTAGTTCTGTTTCTCTGAAGATCCCTGACTAATACAGATGGAGAAACTGAGGCCTGCACAGGCCATTTTGTTCAAGGAAACACAGCTAAAAAATGGCAGAAGCAGTACCTGAAGGGATTCTGTTTGCAAGAGCCTAGTCTCCTAACAGCTAGACTAAGCTACCTCGTGCACACGGATAGAGGGTGACTAGTGGCAATTATATTCTATATCCAAAGCCCAGATAAGGAACATTTATTAAAGGAATTTTAAATTCCAAACAAGGAGACGTAGATACTAGAAGAGACTCTGCTGGCCTTCTTCACCTGATTACGCCTCTTCTTGTCTTTGAGGCAGGAGCACCAACCTAAGTCTGCCCAGGAGGTTTAGTTGCCTCTTTTTCCTGAGCTGCTTATTTGACCAAGTTCCCATGGATTCTGCATCTCCAATTCCCTACAAATGGTTCTAACAGTGACTTTTGGCTGAAGAAAGAAGACAGTTTGTATTTGAGTCCTGAGATAGGGATATTCACAATAGTATCACAAATATATTTATCTTCTTTTAAAACACAGTGGCTTGGTCTCCTTGGAGATCAGGGCTATATATACAATTTATAAAGCCATTTTAAGATAGGAAAGCCTAGGCTTCTGAGGTAGAACTAGTATGGTTTAGGGTATGCAGGGGGTGTGCCCCTCCAGATCCTGGAACTACATGAAGGATGGTGATCCTGAAAGGTGCCATCTTCCCTGGACTATATTCACCAGGAACAATGAGAACTCAGTGTATATGGGACCCAGGACCAAACTGGGAACTTCTCCTATAAAAGAGCAATTTCTGGGGAATTCGCCCCTAAAAATCTATATCCTAGCAATGGGATTCTGGGGTAGATTGTTTGTGCATATGGCCACGATAATTTCCTTTTCTGTCCTCGGGTAGCACCCTCCCACACTAACTCTGGATTTGGCCACATGAGTTGTTTTGATTGATGGTACAATAGCAAACACGACGCAATCAGAAACTAGAAAAGTAGTCCCACTGAATGTTAGGACCTGATCTTTCTTTCTCTTTTTTTGGAACCTTTAGACTACTATGTGAAGAATCCCAGGCTAGCCTACTGGAGGATAACAGGCCATATGGACCTTCATGATAAAAACCTTAAAAGAAAACTGGATATAGAAGGAACATACCTCAAAATAATAAAGTCATATATGACAGACCCACAGCTAATATTACGCTGAATGGGGAGAAACTGAAAGCCTTTTCTCTAAGATCTAGAACAAAACATGGATGCTTACTTCCACCACTGTTATTCAACATAGTACTGCAAGTCCTAGCTAGAGCAATCAGACAAGAGAAAGAAATAAAAGGCATCCACCTGGGAAAGGAAGACATCAAATTACCCTTGTTTGCAGATGATATAATCTGATACTTAGAAAAACCTAAAAAGTCTACAAAAAACTAATAGAACTGATTTTTTAAAAAATGTAGTTAAATTGCAGGAGGATACAAAATCAACATACAAAAGTTATTAGCATTTCTATATGCCGACGGTGAACAATGTGAAAAAGAAATTTTAAAAGTAATCCCATTTACAATAGCTACAAAAATTAAACATCTAGATCTCTATAATAAAAACTGTAAAATGCCAGTGAAAGAAATTAAAGAGGACACCAAAAAATGGAAAAATATTTCATGTTCATGAATTGGAAGAATTAATATTGTTAAAATGGTCACACTACCCAAAGCAAACTACCGATCCAATGCAGTCCCTGTCAAAATACCAATGACATTCTTCACAGAACTAGAAAACAAAATCCCAAAATTTAGGATTTGTTTCTGCATTCTCTATTCTCTATAGCCAAAACTATCCTAAGCAAAAAGAACAAAACTGGAAGAATCATACTACTTAACTTCAAATTATACTACAAAGCTATAGTAACCAAAACAGCATGA